TTTTTTTTTTTTTTTTTTTTTTTTTAGCTATTTGTACTTGAATGACTTGATTTCTTTTCCCTTCTCTGAAGATAAACATTCATAATGCTATGAATCTCTAATCTCTGCTTAGTTACCTTACATGTAGCTTCTTTATGTTCCTTATTGGTTAAATGGCCTTTTGCTCCTACTTCTTCTGAAACCCAGTTCTCACAAGACTGCCTGGCATTTCTGAGTGCCTGGGGATGTCTGTGTTGCTGGAACTTGAGGTACGCCCCAGAACGCAAGATCGACGTAAGGACGTACTCAGACTTTCACTGCCCATATATCTTGTACACACTTGAAAATGAAATTTGTGGCTAAATAATCTAAAAGGCATATTCAACAGACCAAATTGGCCTTCTTTCGTAAAGCCCTCTTGTCCATATACCAAGCTCCAGATCATGAGGGCAGCACCTCTGGCTCTTAGCATGGCATAACAATTAGTAAACGAGGGTAGGACAGGGGTAATCACAACCGTCTGCTAGTAGCAGTGCTCCTCCAACTCCCAGCTAGCTACTCTTTTCAACTGGAAAAGAGCAACTTTGGAGTACTTGGTCTGGCTTTTCTTATCTGTGATTTAATGCGGCTGGACTGGACGCTTTCTGAAGTTGTTTCCAGATCTAACATTAAAGCTCATTTGCTGGCAATCCTCAGGGTTCAGATTCTATCCACACCAGATGTAGGGCACACATACCCCTTGTTCCAAAACAACCTGCTCAAACACTCTGTCAGAGGAAATCTCTCTGGGAACTGAAGTCCAGATAGAAAATTTTACCAAGCATGCTACTCCATCTGAATATTTTGGACAGGTAGAAATGGATTCATTATTTCTGGAATGAAAGTAAAAATTTCAAAGCTATTTATCAACCCTACTTGGGCTTTCCAGGAATAAAAGTAAAATTTCCAAAGCTGTTGAAGCCAGGCCTATACTTTTCCTTTCACAAAAAACCTTGGAACTCGTGTTAATTTGTGTTTATTTCCATCACTATTAGAAATCAGAGCATGTAAGAGAAAAGATGGAGTATAAAGTAATATGAAGCATTTCCATGGTGGCTGTAAGCCAGTGCTTTCCTCTACACATAATTAGCATTCACGTTAAAATTCTCATTGAGAACAAAGAATTTTATCCTTATTATTTAAATTGAAATTTTTTCATCTGTGAGACTACTAACCAACTTATCAACTTTTAATAAAAGCTTTAAAATTGGATTACAAGTAGCATACGAATAATCTACGCCTTCAAATGTGTCAAAATAAACCCCTCCGCTGCCAGTTTTCTCTTTTACCGCAGGTATCACCTTAATTACAAGAAAAGCACAAGCGTACCTGTGCGGTAGACAAAATTGCCTTCGGTTTCGGACGACGACGGAGACACCAGTTCCTCCTCAAATTCATTGGAGCTAAAAGATCCCGAATGGTTTCTTTGCCTTGGTTTCCCCATCATGGCAGTGCCCGTGGCCATGACGTGCGTCAAAGAGTCGTTAAGGTAACGGTTCAACAAGCTGCTCTTGTATTTGGGGGGTGAGACGTAGTCCTCGCCGGCTTTGATCACCGCGCCCTCACTTTTGATCACAGGATGGTGCACCGGGCCGCGATAGCTCCCCTCGCTCGTGTGCGGTCTCGGAGGGTTTTCTCCATCTACGAAGAACGTACAGCAGGTGTAAAACCATCTCGGATATGAGGTTCGCTCTTAGGCAAAGGAAGACAGGCGTCTTTGCTATCTCCCCTATAGTGTACTTTTCATGAATTTCACAGAAAATGTGATTCCAACACAGCATGAGCTATGCCCAAGAAGAAACGGCCATCGCTCTGTCTAAACAGTTACTCCACGCAGTAACTGAGAGCTCTCAATGGCATCATCTGCTTTGTGAGGTCAGCCTCGCAAAGGGCCTCGGAGGTGAATTTCTTACGACAGAGGCCAAGCAACAAGAGGCAAATTGAAACTTCTGCGCTTGATCTTAGCCAAAAGGCCGAGAAGCGAAAATGAAAACTCTGAACAAACCTTCAGAGCAGGAATCGTCGCTGCTCACGCTGAGCCGCTCGGCATTGCCTTGCACGTATTTGTTGTACAACTTTATTCTCAAAGCCCAGCTCAAATCGGGCTGCCGGACCGTGTTCTTGAGCCGACGTCTCGCGTTAGCAAACCAATTTGACACCTAAAACAATAGCAGTTTCCCATTAACTAAACATGAAAACATGACTCATCTGCTTTCTCACAAACAACCCAAGGGGCTGGGGATGTAGCTCAGTGGCTCCACCCCCTGCCTTGTAAATTCAAGGGCCAGAGTCCGATCCCCGTACGAAACAAAAAACAAAATAAAAACCCCTGAAATCGGACAAACGATCCAAGCCTCTTCCAGCATCTTTCGTCAGCGGAAGTCGTACTAGATGTTCAGGTCCGATCACGCCTTCAATGCCGGGCACATTTGATAGAAACCGAGCTCTTCCTGTACGCTGAGTAACAAAACTACAGAGGCCTTGCCATCCAAACTTTTAGTCTTAACTAAACGGCACCTATGTGCTTAAGAAACACAACTTCCATTTACTTCAGGATTTTCTCCGGCTTTCTTCTCTCTCCTCCTCTATTCCATCTGACTGTTTTCCTGTCTGAGAAACATCTAGCAAGAGACTGAGCTGGGGAAGGCTGTGAACAATGGCAGACTGGCACGGAAGCCAAAGGAAGCCAGGCTTGGTGACACACACGTGTGGTCCCAGCTCTGTGGGAGGTTAAGGCCAGAACTTCGAAATCAGCCTGGGCAATATGGCCAGACCCCATTTCAAAAAATATAAAACCAGAAAAGGGATACAAGAATCTAAGGGGGAGTGGGATTACTGTCCATTGAGCCACAAGCCTTCATGAGGAATCAAGCCTGTAAACGAAGGGAGGCTGGAGTGTCAGGTGGAGGGGACAGGAAGTATGTTCTCAATAAAGATGAACGAGGAGAAAAATATAAGTCACAATTCACAGACATGGTTGGGGAAGAACAAGAGGGCAGAATTAAAGATGATCTTGAGCTGTCCAACCTGTGCAACCAAGAGGAGGGAGCACCACTTTGAGAACGTGTAACTCTTTAAAGATTAAATGACGCGCTTGGTTTGGGGAGTGGCTAATTGGAGGTGCTAGAAAAGCATATGGAGGAGATATCCAGGAAAACTAAACACGATGCCCGGAACTCAGAGGGGAAAGATCAGATATGCAGGGCACAGGTGTGCAGAGGGAAAGGAAGTTGTAAGGAGACAAAAGGAGAGGGTCAAGGGTCAGCTGTGGGGACCGGCAGCAGCAAGGAGGGAGGACAGCAAAACCCCCAGAGCGGGGCAGAGGAGCAGCATGGGGGGAAAAGCCACAGAGCCCCAGCTTTAGGCAGAAGTTAAGTCCTTTAGCACCCAGGTGAAGGCAAAGCAATAGATGCCTCAAAACAAAGAAAACCTTCTGCTCTTTTTGTAAGGTGCCACTGGATTTCCAGAGGCTGAAACTGCACTTGAGATTTATTCTAATATCTCAAGATCTTATCAGTATATAATTTTTTTAAATATCTCCAAGAAAAAAATGATTTTAAAAGAATGAAACAGGAAGAGAATTGTCTTCCTGTCAGTTTGTTCCAGAACACGACCCCATTTTACTATATGGCTTGTGTGGCAAAGGTTTCACTGGCAGTTTTTGTTTTCTTTTTCTTTTTGCTATACTGCAACACGCAATTTTACACATTGCTCAAGCCCTAATTTTTGGATGAAACTGTGGTTAAGTTCTATTTTAAGAAAGGCCAAATTATATTTTGTTCTCCCGATCCCCATGACTAACACACGATAGTTCTCCCACATAAATTCAATATTCCGCGTGTAATGCGTCACCTCCTTCTGCCTTAGCTGTGGAAACTGACCTTTCACATTTATGTGCAGTGATGTAAGATCTCACTACGACACCTCAGAAGTCTCGGGCTTCGTTTGGCCAAGCTGAACTAGTATCACCACGATTTAGTCTGACTTCGAGTGCTCAGTCTTTTCATTCTGCCCAGACAACTTCTGAACTATTTGTTCAACAAATATATATATATATATATATATATATTCTGTGAGTCACGGTTTTGAGGGCCAGGACTGACTAAGCTTTGTCCCTTCAGTCCACATGGACCAGCAGTGAAGGAGTCGTGATTACCCTGGATACAGAGGGGATTCATCACCATGGAAACACAAAGCGCCACGTCCCTTTCTTCACATTCTAAACCTGCCTCTGATGCTCCAGTTCACGGCCAAAATTTTCACCCAATCCTCCTGACTACTAACGGGGACTTTTACAACATTCCTCCCACTTCTCTGTCTTCCATTCCCGTCTCCTGCATATATCTGCTGTAAAATGTTTTATTTTTCTGAGTACATGTTTGCAGTACTTATGATTATGTTTACTGTTAACAGTCATCATGAAATTCAATGGTTCATGGTCACTTTTACTTAGACACTCCACTTCTTGAAATCTCATTGATGTCCTCTTATCCTAACTATGGTACAGTGGCAGGAGGAGCACTTGGTCTCCTGACTGGAATTGGTCAAAAAGATGCTGTGAAGTTAGCCAGGTCATTCAACTTTAATGAACTTCAAATCTTTCCTCTGAAATCCCTGTTACCCTGGCCAGCCTTGTAAACTGAGACTGTGAACATGTCTCCAGCCCTCCTGCATCAGTGTTGATTCTCCTAGTAGTTGGTACAAAGCTACCTTCTGCTCTGCCCATTATGCTCCAGCAATCAGATAGGTGTGGTTACTTCCGGCTCTGCTCCTCCCACACATGGATTGCTGCTGATTTCCCTCATGCTTCTATTACTCATATATAATAGAAGCCAACTCCAAAAAAATTTTTTTTACTTTCTTCACTAAACAGTATACAATCCAGACTGAACTAGTTACATTTTAACCAGTCTTAACTAGCTTACACTGTACCTACCCAGTTCAGTTTAAGACCCATAATAAAAAACATAATGGCCTTCTAATAAGAAACATTAGCACTCTATAATTCTAATGGACATAACTAGTTTTCATATTTAGGGGTCAAATCCTTTTTAATGTTTTATATATGTACACTTCTTACCATATAATAATAGTTATACATTAGGAAATTTTCCAGAAAAGTTTACTGATATCTAGCAGTCTAAACTGATTTTTAAGCTTGACTGGCATCCAAATTGCTAATATATTTACTTTGCCAATATTTTATGACCAGAAATTTACAGTACAACCTAGCAGCTGGATACAGTCTAAGGAAGTTCATATCTATTTATAGTAAGTTCTGCAAGTACATGCAAATCACCGGCTAATTCATTTGAATAACTTTTTGCATTTTTTCTGTATTAATTAATGCACATGCCAGTTTACATTGTCTACCTTTTACCTACCATGGTTCCCTTCAGATTGTCAAGCACAGTCTCTTTAAATTGGTTTTTACACAAAACAGACTTTCTTACCAAGAATAAGTACTAGAACAGCATTTTACAGTTAAACTCGGTGCTTTTAAAAAACCACACATTTTATAGCGAAAGCACAGAGGGCCAAATATCTCAAAGCTGGAAGACAAAACTGAGTAGTGTCCATCCTATCTAACAGAGGTGTTTACATTCATCACACTGAAACAGCAATCATCACAGTGAACCCAAAGGGATAAGCCAGCCTCTGTCTACCTCTGAACACGCCAAATTAACAGACTTACTCCGAGTTACTCTGCTGAATTACTGAGCACCTCGTTTCTATGTGGTAGAACGCTTGGAATAATGTATAAGGGACAATCTGAGATTCCGCTGAATATTTAACAACGACGGTAAGACATATAGTTATCTAGGTGCCCATATCTGTGCAGAAGCACTGACTTCCAAGCAACAACAGAGCTATGTCAACACGGTAGGAAAGATCTTCTGGCACAACAGTCTTGGGCAACTAGATCACAGGGATTTGAAGCGCATAAGAAGAGAAAGTATTATTCCTTGGCATGTGCCTAATGGAAAAGCTCATGGAACCTGATATTATTCCACAGTAGAGCCATTTATATTTTGAAAGTATAAGTATATTTTTAAATGTTTGTTTGAACAATAGCCAGCGATAGGAACCAAGCACAGTAGACCGTTTTGGTCAGGTAAAATCAAAGAACACATGCACACAAATACACTCACACAAATCACCTCCACGTTGACTTTATGAAAGTGCTATTATCACATTAAAAAGACGTCAAATTAATAATGTGAGTAAGAGTCAAGCATAGCCACAGCAAATCCCCACAAAGTTATTCAGTCAAGTGAGCGAAAACAAATGCAAGTTGCACAAACATTTCCTCACTTCATTTTTCAAGGACAAAACACATGTAGCTACTGATTAATGGAACTTCTATTCATAAGAAAAAGTACCTTCTGAGGTCCTCAAACATATTTCCATGTTTTTAATGCTAGGCCTCAAGGGAAATTTCTGACCAGATTTCACACTCTTCCTTCCTTACCAATTTAAGAGTAGTGAAGGTAACATAATCCAAAGAAAAAAGTAAATATAAAACAAACTCCCAAATATAATATACTTCTATAGTGAAGGAATTAACAGGCAGACATCTCGTTAATATAAGCCATGAAAAATAGGAGATAAGAAAAATAAGAGTTTGACAGAAATAAGAGAAACACTCCATGTTTGCCTCTAGAAATGGATATAGGACATATTTTCAGATATTTTGAAAGTGAAATGGGTTATATGTGTGCTTGTTCTGCAGACCTATCACATACTATTGAAGTGAACAAGCTGCTCTCTGTGTTTTCCCTATGACAGGATGAGTTTTTAAACTAGAACATCTTACAGTTCAAGACGTTTGTGAGCTGTCAGAGAGAGATTTTGGAAAGCTTCATGATGATGACAGCATTATTCCCCCAAAGCAAGCTATTTGCCCTCCACAAGTGTGCAGATGGCTTGTTCTGTGGAAAGCTCAGGGTAGGGGTGACAGTCTTGCGAATGCTGTGGGTGGGATTTGATCACACTTCTCAAGAAGGCTGGAACTCACAGGCTAAGACTGACTCATTATTACTTAGGGTCTAAGATCACAGTTTTGTGTCTTCCCTGTAAACTCCTAACATAATTTATGCAATTTTCCATACTCAGAATTTGTTTTGGATGTTCAGTTTATGTTTGACTTATACGAACTCATACATATGTATGCATTTACAAACACACACATACATAAAATTTACATGGACAAACCATTGTACCTATTTGAAAACAACTGTATTATACATTAAGGTGCCTTGGTAACTCTATACATTTTATCTTTTTCCATTTATTACTTTATAGTTTAAGAAATAAACTTCAACTATGATAAAATATGATAATCAATATACTGCTGTCATTCATTACTATGGACAATCTTTGCCCAATTTTCTTATTTTGTACTGGGAATCGAACTCAGGGCCTCACACTTGCCAGGCAGGCAGTATGCCTCTGAGCTACATCCCTGGTCCTGCTCCATTTAAAAATTAGGAATTCTGTGCATTTTTATTTCCTAAGGACTAAGTATATGAGAAAGGAAAGGGGTTTGAATGGAAATTTCATGTAAATCAGAGAAACATAATAACCCTACCAAGATATAAATGTAAAAAGAATTGTTATGTATATTCAGACTGGCATTACAGGTAGCTAATAATTTCATTCTTTATGAAAATTATAGTTTACTTGTGCTGCATCTTAAACTACTGCATAAAATTTTAAATGTAATTTATTATCTTTTCATAACTAAAAATGTCCTAAAATAATGTCCATTTTTTGCTGTCTCTATAAAAGTATAGCAACCTAAATAAGGTAACAGAGCATTACTGCCACCACTGTAAATACTCAAATAAGTGTAAATTAGTTCAAGATAAACATGTTCAAGATAAATAGTATACGTTTAAGCTGAAGTCACCACAAACATTTATTTTCATAGGTCAAGTTTTCCTGATTATAGTAATTTATTTAGAAATGACTTTTGTAAATCATGGAATAGCTCATAGTTTTAAATTTTTTATCAGTACATGTTTACAGTATGATTATATTAATTATGGAAAGCTGTTTTTATGGTGAACAGATATCAAGCCAATAAGTCATATTAATTTATCCCTCTATTGCTGTTGGGAGTCACTATTAATATAATTTCCTATGAATAAGAAGGAAAACATGTTTTTCTTTACAGCTGTATTCTAAAAATAAGCAGAAAAATACATATTAGAATTTTGATAAGCCGGACCTCAAGCCAGCTTTCACACCTTGTCAAAAATTAATTCTGAAGTGACAGTTTTAGGATACTCTGGAAACGGACTTTTCTTTTATTTAGTATTTGTTTATCTGGGGGTGTTTCCCGTACTGTACATTTAATGCAGTCCGGTGGAGCTACTGTCCGGAGTGAAGTGTCCTGTCCCTCCTGCCCGCCCTTCTCTTCTGGATGTTCTGTTTGCTTGTACAACGTCCATGCCACCGTGTCTACTACAGAAAACTGGTGAAATGGATAGAGCATCTCATCTAAAATTAAATTGCCCTTCCTCGGCCCCTTACTGACCCTGACGTCCACGCACAGTGGCGATGTTATCCTTGAGATGTGCTCCACACTACCGTTTTAGCGAATAGCAAATACGCCTGTGTTCAGAAACGCTGGTTCGATGTAAACTAGCGTGTTCACTGGAAAAGAAACAACCTTGCACCATCTCTCTACCCTTGGCAAGCAACCATCTGATCTGAATTCTGCCCCCTCTCCTTGAGCCCAGTAGGAAAGTACCAGCAGGGTGCCTACTGTGGGTTCCAGTGGGGGGCCCTGATGCTTTCTATTAAAGAATAATAAAGTACGCAAACCCACTCCCTGTCTTTCTAGTCCCCCAACCTTTGTTAACAGTGGCCCTTCTGCGTTGTTCCGAACTTGAGCTTTAATACGGGCTCCAATTTGCTGTCCCGAGTTCCGGGTTCTCAAAGCTTTTGGGCACAAGGCCAGCAGCTGCAGAAAAACTTGAGAACTTGTTAGAAATGTAAATTACGGATCTCACCGGAAACTACTGAACCGGGAACTCCGGGTGGCGCGCAGGCATCTGTGTTTGAACCAGCTTCCTGCTCTCCCTAGGGCACGACCTATTTACAGCGTACCTGAGCACAGATTCCCAGGCCTCCTCCAAATCCCCAGCTGACCTTCCAGTCCCTTCCCTAACAGCACATTCTGCAATCCCTCCCGGACCGGACCGGCCGGCTGCACCACAGCGATAAATCGGAATGAGAAGCAGCCCTTCCCAGCATCACCCCTGCAACCCGAGCCAAGGCATCCGGAACGCTGTCCCCGGGCCCGGGCTCCATCGTCCCGGAGGGGCACCACCCGCGTCCTCCTCGCTAGCGGGGGAGCGGACTCCGAGCCTGTGGGCACCGTTACCTGCACGAGCGTCATCTGCGAGCCGAGGGCCAGGAGTATCTTCTCGGTCTTGGTGGGGTACGGGTTGTCGCGGTGCTTGTAGAGCCACTGCTTCAGTGGCCGCGCCATGTCTTGCAGGGCCTGCCGCTTGTGCCTCACCTTCCCGCCGCTCTGCCGGGCCCTAGGAGCCGGGAGGGGAGAGGAGGGGCGGTGAGGGCGCCGAGCCCGCACCTGGTTCGTGGCCCGGGGGGGAGGGTACCGGGCCCAGCCCGAGAATCCCTTCTCCACGCTCCCCAGGCCGCGCAGGGCTGGCGAGTAACAAGGGCCTCGATCGCGATCGCGGGTCACAGGGCAGCCTGGGGTCTAAGTCGACCTCGAGGTGGATAGAAGATGCCCTGAGCCCAGGGACTCCAGTCAGCGATTAGAGATACGGCGGAGGCGACTGCGCCCTGCTCGGCCCCGTGCGCGCAGCCCGGAGCCGCCGGC